AGATGTGATCAGTAAACACATGAAATCAGTGAACATTACTTGCTAAGGACATGAAAACTAAGACCATGATGTGTTACCTCTTCATGTCAGTAAATCTTAGTCTATTAAAAAGAGAGGCAAAGCAAATAGTGATGAAGATGTGGCTAAGTTTATGTCTCATACATTATTGATGGGAGATAGGAAAAGGAAGAATGGAGTAATGACTTTACAGTTTGGGAGTTTCTCAAAGTGCAAAATAAAAAGTCATCCTAATACTCAAAAATTATACTTATACGAATCTTACAAAAAAATTAAAACATATGTCTACATTTAAACTTGTATAGCAATACTTCTATCAACTTTATTCATGACAGCCAAAAAATAGAAATGAGAAAATGAGAAATGGGAAAACATAAAACCAAGATGTAATATATTAATCCATGGAATACTATGAAAGAACCAAAAGAAACAAGGTACATTAGAACACAAATAAATCATATAACATGCCAAATGGAAAAAGTCAGATACAAAAATTCTATATAACTCCCTTCATATGATATTTTCATAAAGACATATATATATATAAAGTAAGTGACTAAGTGGTTGTCCTCTAAGCCTGGCAGTAAACAAGGGCAATGATTGCAAGTTGACAATTTCTTTGTGGGCTGATAGAAATGCCCTAACAAATTTTATTTCTGGGGTGGTATAAATGCTCTAACATGAGATTGCAATGACTACAACACTATAAAGATATTACTATTGAGTAGCATCCATTAAATGAATTTTTATGGTATTTAAATTATGCTTACTGAACTTACTAATTTTTTAAAACTCATACCGTCAGAAAATGCAGCAAGGATCAGATGGTGAAAATGTCTTAGAATTGCTAACAAATTGTATTTAAATTGCAGGATGTACTGGTGAGGATTTAAACTTGGCAGAGGAGATGAGGGAACAAGACATCTCTTTAATTAAATATTTATTTTTGTTTTGATCCTGACACTGAGTTATTAACAAGAATATCATTTGGCACTAATTCATGAGTAATGGTGACAATTCTCCCCTTAATCAGATCTTGCTAAAACTCTTTTGTCACAAGCAAACCTAATTATCTTTTTTATAAATAATAAGAAAAAAATAACAGACGCAAAATAAAGAGAGCATTCGCTCATTCCAATGCATTCCTGAAATTAATATAGCTGAGAATCCCACATTTGGAAGCTGTCCAAATGGAAGCTCTGGACACTTCAATGATTCATAATGTAAAGACATATGAACGAATTCTCCCCACATTATATTCACATGGTTTAATTCTGGACTAATTCCTTATGTGTTAAGCCAGCTTATCACAACAGTAGATAGACAGGCCTTCTGTCTACTGTTGTTAACCTACATTTGGTCATGAGATTGCACTTAAAAAAAGAATGACTTACTTTTTCACCAGGAGGACCAATTGGGCCTTGTGGACCAGGAAGACCCTGTTTTAAAATAATTCATTTCACGAGTCAGAAATGACATCACAAAAAACTGCTGTTAAACAGTTGCCTGATTAAAGCTTTGTTCATAGGCAATGAATTACGAGACTACATAAATATGTCCACCTCCTCTTTCCCCCAAAAAGTTTCAGAATGCTGAGACACCGTGAGAAGTTTTGCACAAGCTACTCTTTTGGCAAACGGACTGTAATGTGATCCTATTCAGACCCTTCTGCAGGTGTGGCTGTCCCTGCTGGCATTCCATGAACACTGAATGACTCATTTTTCTCTAGGAAGAAAGGAGCTACTGCAAGTTCACTTAAATTTAAAATAAATAAATAAATAAAATAAGGGGAAAAAGCAAGAAAAAACTTTTCCTTCAATCACATTGAAAACAGTTTCAGTCTTATAAAGAAAATGCTGAGGTTGTCAGTTTTCTTGGACAAAGATACCATCTTATCCCATCTTCCCAAAGGAATTGCCGTGGCTTAGACTTACTTGAGGTCCTGGATTTCCTTGCTGACCTGGCGGTCCAGGCTCTCCTTGGGGACCCTGCCAAAGAAAAACAGAAGGGGTCTTTAATTGGACTATTTTACATAATAGGGTTTTTTTTCCCTTCTGAACTGAAATATGGTCCTCAAATCAGTTCTCTTTCCAAAGGCCCTGGTTTAAAAAAAAAAAAAAAGAAAAGAAAAAAACAAAAAAGCTTGTAACTTATTGATGCTAGCAGAAACTACTTAGCAGAAAAATCTTGTAACTTATTGATGCTAGCAGAAACTTACAGCAAGAAGCTATAGGAAATCTCTATTATAGATGTAGCAACAAAAATGGTTTATTAAGGCTCAGATACCAGAAATCAGTGCTTTTAAGGATGTTTTCTACATACCATGTTTCCTTTTGGACCTTGGGGACCATCCACACCTGCAATGCCCTTCAATAAAAAAAAAAAGTATATCATAAATTTAAATATGACTAGAAAAAATTAAAGAAGCTAACTAAATAGCGTGTATGGAGTTTATGACTTTCCTAAGCACTAAATTTTTGTGGGTGGATATATGTGAATAGGACATGTTAACCTATTCACAAAGAGATTGGCCATCTCACAAATCCATAGGGAAATTGATTAATCTCACCATTTATTTGAACATATCCAATAGCAGGAACAGATCTTCCACCAAGAGAGAACCAAAAATTTCTGCTAATTATTCAGGACCCCAGACAGAAAAGATGGGCCTAAGGCAGTAAAGCCATAGCAGTCACAACGTAAAATAAGAGACTTGACATGAGGTGGGACCTTGTGGGGCTGCTACAACATTGGACAAAAGCTAAAAGCATTTTGTCCAACTTTGTTGGAAGACTGGGGACAATAGAGCCAATACTGGCAGGCTAAGAACATTGTCACACTGGCCTAAAGCCATAAAGCTCAAAGCTGAGGTGCCTGTGGACACATTTTGGAAGCTGTCCTGACTGAATTCTACTACCAACCTGGATTATAATATTTGACTTGCCCAGCATGGTTCTGTGTGGTCTGGGAGCTACCACACTGGATTTTAGATGCAGTCAAACAATACGATAGGCATTGATATGAGTAGAAAGAGGTACAGAAACATGGATGATAAGTCTGACCTCATGTGAATTGGTTTGTGCTGTTCATGCTATTGACAGGGACAGTTTCCTTTTGTGAAGTCAGTAAAGGTCAGATATGGCCATCTCCATTGGTCCTTGTTCTTTTTACAACACGATTACCACTAGATTAGGATGATCTAAGGTCATTTGAGGAGTTGAAGAAAATGAGGAAAAAAAATAAGGTCTGTACTCCTCTAATCTATTTTCCTGCCATGGGATCTTCTATGTAAAGAAAAATAAAGGAAATAAAAAGAAAGAATGTAGAAGAAAGAGGAAAAAGCCACTGAAATTGATAGGTAGCAACACTATCAACAGATCTTAGACTAAAGTAAGGCAGTAGTTCCAGGTTATCTGCTAATGGTGATAAGACCACTAAGATTTCAAATAGTCAGTTAACATATTTCTTAAAAAATTTTAAAGAGTTCCAGCAATACATACAGGCTGCCCTGTAGGTCCTGGTGTTCCTCTTGGTCCCAGTAATCCTCGTGGGCCCTAGAAAAGATTAAAAAGAAAAAAGCATGCCTTTAGAAAAATTATTTTCAAGCATATCTCTTCCTCTAAAGAAAATGGAATGCAATATTGAGTAAAGATATGCATACATTACTTAATGGTATTTAAAATAGCACTTTTATCTAACATCAAGTGTTTCTATAAATTCAAAAGTCACAAAGGATAAAAGCCAAGTTCTATTACAGTTACTAAATACCTTTATTTCTAGAAATTATATATAAACCAATTTGGATATCTTTTAGATAAGAAATAATCTCATACTTTATATGTGGCTTTTGTATCATTTTCTAATGTGAATGTCAACACTGAACCTTCTTATTCAGTTCAGTACAGTATACAAATATAAGAGCTCTAATTCACATTCATTATTCCACTGGGTAAAATTTCATTTTGTGAAATAATAATCACTGAAGTAAATAAATAGAACAGCTGAATAATTAAATGCACATACCATAAAAATAATTTCTATGATAGAAACTTTAGTTTTTAACTAAAATTGTTATTTTTAAACTAAATTTAGTTCTCTTCTTTTTTACCCTCTTCAATCCTCAAAAAAAGTGAATATAACAACTTATTTTGTATCCTACTTGCTTGAACTATTGTGCTGGATTCTTTTGGGGTAGCATTCAGACAACTATAATAAATAGTGATTCTATTACAATAGATATTGTACAATGAGTCAAAATAGAGTAGAAATTAGATAAGTCTCTTACAGTTTAGTTTGTTATCTGCTTGTTTTTAAAACAGACTATAAAATAGAAGACACTTAAAAAACCGAGTATGCCTCCTTATATGTGTAATACATTAAATTATACCAGTCTTTTTGTCACTTCTTGTGAGTGTTGTTGTTACTGACGTGCATCTTTCAGTCGAAACCAACCTGTTTCTAACCATCCAACAAGTTTTCAGAAGTAGTAAATAGCACAGGAGAAGACTGGGAGAAAGATGAGCAGGTCTCCTCCCAAGCAATTTAGACCATATGCTTTTGGAATTTCAGTGCAGGTTCTTATCATTGTAATTGTTATTTGCCATTGAATTGAGTAAGACTCATGCTGACCCTACATACAACTGAACACTGCCCTATCCCATGCCATCCTCACAATCTATGACACACTCAAGCCATTGCTGTAGTTACTGTGTACAGTGTTAAATTAAAAGCTGGCTTTCAAAAAAAAAGTTGGCAGCTGCCTTAACTGTAGACACATGGTCTTGCAAACAACAAATAGCTGTGGAACTAGGATAAGTGAGAGAGTGCTTCCCACACTGAGCAGCAAAACTTGAGGAGACTAAAGCACGTTCCTGGTAAGAGTGAGACAAGAGCAAGATCCTGTGGGTGAGAGCCTAGTGATAGTGGTAGAGAGACTGTGGTATTGTTACAGAAAAATTGTGGCAAGATATAACCAGAGTAGCCCTAAAATAAAGGTCACAGTAAAAAGTTTCATTGTAGGATGATTGAAGGAGAAACTTTATAAACTTTATAAACAACTTTATAAATTTTATAAATGCTCTGAGACAAACCTTGCTAAAGGATTGAGGAAATCAGAAGCTTCTGGAATTTGAGTTACTGGACGGAAACTAGGACTTTTACAAATTAAGGAATTGCAGGGTTTTTTTCTGTTAATTTGGCTTAAGACTGCTGGACTAAATCTGGATACACATTGTGAGATATCCTTGGCTTTTCCCACTCCTAACTTATTTCCCTAATAAATCTCACTTTTGGTACCACAACTGTGAGTAAAGTATGTGAGACAACAATGAATCTCAAACCCAGTGATTGGTGAAAATAGGTGCATGAGCATGGGAGTTGGCATGTCTGACCTCGCACTGCTGTGGATACTATTGATAAGGAAAGTTTCCCTTTATTAAGTAGGCAGAGGTCAGACTGTGCCATCCTCGTGTACCACCTGCTCCTTTCATACTATGCTAACCCACCTTATCAGTAAGCCACTAAAATTCATTTATGTCAAGCAGATGGAGCTCTGGTGGCCTAGTGTGTAAAGAACTTCACTGTCAACTCAGAGGCAAGTGGTTAAATCCATCAGTGGCTCTGCAGAAAGATGGGCAATCTCTTCCCATGTGACTTACTGAGAACCTTCTAGAAGGTCAGCTCTGAGTCAGTTCCAGCTCAATAGCACACAAAAGAGATGGAGATGGAGCTACTGAAAACATTAAAAAAATTTTAAAAAATGAATGTTTGTTTCTTTTCATTGAGTAAAAACAGACTGATAACTGACCCTTTAGTGGGTTTTTATAGTCTGTAAATTGCACAGGAGGAGACTGTTCATTTTTCTCCCCTGAGCAGCTGATGGATATGAATCCTTTTATTTTGGATTGGCAGAACAACAACCTATGCACTAGCCCACTAAAGCCCTTTCAACAGGCAAATAAAAAAAAAGCTTAGACTTAAAGGTGACAAAGTTTTATATTTCAAATATACAATTATCCAATATTTTCTATAACTCAAAGCAAAAACAAGAAAAACAACTCTACACGTTTTTCTTTGTCACATGAACAATGTTTTGTTCTTGCTAATATTGTTCTAGCTTGGAAGGAGAAGCGGCATCCACTTCCATAACAGCTTGCCTCCGGAAACCCTATGAACCTGGAGAGAGGATGAAAGGCACCCAAGGGTCAAGGACTCTCCTTCATAGGGTTGCTATGAGTGGCCTGCGACTCGACGGCACTTAACAACAATAATATCAACACAGAGAGAGATCAGCTGGCCCAGTGGACAGAAAGCGGCTAACCAAGACAAAGGTGGGTGACTTTTAATCTGCAGCCCTCGGGCCTGTCTTTCATTGTTTTTGTTCAGAAATTCCTCTAGGTCTCATAGCCTTGCTGTGCAAGTTGCCATACCAAGCGGTCACTTGTGGTTGCTGTGAGGCGGAACAATGTGACACTGATGTGTCAAATGTGTTAATGGTTGGGTACCCAATGCGGAAAGAGAGTAAGGTTGAGCTCCTCGATTAAAACAAGCTTGGAAGGAGGAGTGGCATTCACTTCCATAATAGCTTGCCTCAGGAAACCCTATGAACCTGGAGAGAGGATGAAAGGCACCCAAGCTTCGAGGACTCTCCTTCATAGGGTCACTATGAGTCACCTGCAACTCAATGGCACTTAACAACAACAACAACAATATTGTTCTAAGGTGCTATTGGGTCAAGTACGAATCACAGTGACCCAATGAACAACAGATTTGAACTCTATCCTATCCTGTGCCATCCTCACAATTTCTGACACATTTGAGCTTATTGCTGCAATCACTTTGTCAATCCACGTGGCTCGAGGTCTTCCTCTCCTTTGCAGTCCCTCCACCTTTCCAAGCACCATAAGTCTCTCCAAAGAATAGTCTCTCCTAGCAACATGCTCAAGGTATGTGAGACAATGTACCTTCTCCAAAATTTATCTATTTGTTCTTTTGTTAGTCCATGGGCTATCCAGATATCTTTTCCGGATATCACTTTTCAAAGGCATTAATTCTTCTTCTGTCAGCCTTATCCATTGTCCAGTTCTCACATAGCAAGTTACTGAAAATACCATGGCCTGAATTGGATGCATCTTAGTCCTCAAACTAATATCATTGTTCCTCAATAATTTGGAGAGGTAGATTGACAGCAGATTTACTCAATATAGTATGTGTCCAGATCCCCTGTTGACATAAAGTGTATAAACTCTGGTCCCAAATGAGATTGAGTTGTTGACAGGTTTAATTTTTTCTTCATCCATAATAATGTTATCAACTTTAGTTTACTTGCTTCAACAATCAACACTCTTAGTAAAATACTAATTGCATTGGAAAAGTAAGAGATCTCTCCAAAGTACTGAAGAGCAACAACGTTAGTCTGAAGACTAATGTGTGCTGATCCAGGCCATAGTCTTTGCAATTCCTTGCAATGCATCAGAAAGCTGGACAATGACTAGGGATCATAGAAGGAGAATTGATGCCTTTGAGATGTGTTGTTACAGAAGAGTATTGAATATACCGTGGACTGCTAGGAGGACAAATAGGTTCATCCTAGAGAGGAGGCTTGCTTCTTAAAGGCAACAATTCTGAAGCCTTGTCTGACATACTTTGGACATGTTGCTAAGTGGCACCAGTCCTTGGAGAGGAACATCATGGAGGGACAGTGAAAGAAAGGAAGACTTTTGATGAGATGGATTGATTCAGTGACTGGGGTAATGGGGCTAGGTGTGCCAGAGACAATAAGATTGACACAGCATAGAGCAAGGTTTAGGGCTGTTGTACATAAGGTCTCTGTGAGTCGCAGGCAGCTTGATGGCACAAAACAACAACAAAATCATGATGATGTCTATTGGTTAGTGATGAGAATTTGTGTATTATTAACATGATGCAAATTTTTTGGCTAGCATTGGTAAAAGAACAATATCAACCTAAATATACTGATCTAAATATGTACAACATCAAATATGACCACTTAAAAATAGGCTGTTATAATAAGAACAAAAAGTTACTTACAGCTTCACCAGGGAGACCCCTTGGTCCTATTTCTCCATCATCTCCCTGTCAATGACACATGAATGTGAAGGTAATACAGTTAGACAATGTATATTAAGATGGCATGGCTCACTTACATTTTAATTTTAATTGTAATACTTAATATACCCTCATTCCATCTTCTCCAGGTGCACCAGGAGGACCTTGAGGACCTCGTTCACCCTGTTAAGTGAATAATACAACTATGATTAGGACATGATATAAGAGTCTTGTTAGTTGGTGAGGTAAGCAGCCTAACTGAATGTAATAAGGTACTTGTGGGAAAAAAATATGCTTTGTTTCCCTTCCCCAGATCACTTCAGACAAATCACAACTTTCCAATATTAACTAGCTTTCAATATAATATATGGCAGAAAATATTTGTAATTATAAGCACAAAATGTTTTAGCAAAATACCTAAAATAATTTTCAGGCATTTCATTACTAAGAGTCAACCCAGCTATTCAATAAAGCATTAGCCTAAATAGTGTGGTCCAACATGAATAGACTTTGTTGATTCTTTTTTTTTTTTCATTTTATTTTACCAATTCTAGAATGATTATTTCTATTTATAATTGTTGTTGTTGTTGTTGTTAAGTGCCTCGAGTTGTAGATGACTTATAGTGGCCCTGTGTATAACTTTCATCGTTTCTCCAAGCTCATAGGATTTCCAGAGGCAAACTATTTTGGAAGTGGATAACACTCCTGCTTATTTATACAGAACAATTATAACTATAAAAGAGTAAAATGATGTTGAGGGGTTCAAAACTTATGTATTTAATTTTATGCATATTAGGCACACACTACATTTTGCTAGATATTCACAGAGTTTCCTTCTTCAAATAATCTTAGAGTTGCCCTGTCTTCGTCATAAATACAGCAATCACGGGTGATACTTTCATAAAAGAAAAAGTTGTTTGTTTAATTTTTTACTAAAAATACCTGGTAGATTGTTTTCAGCCTGGTCGTTTACTTACCTTTGAAAAGTTATAAACTCTTCCACTGAAGTCAAGGCTCAAAATATCACCAAGAGATTGTAGTGCCTATAGTTTCATGAAGAACCTCAGTGATGCAGCTGGACTCTGTATATTAGGCACTCTTGTTTGGTTGAGAGTTGTGTGGAATTGTTGGGTTAGTTGGTTAGTTGGTTGGTTGGTTGGTTGGTTGATTGATTTTTAATTTAAATCTCTGGTTTACAGTCAACAAGACCTCTGTGGAAGGTCCTTGTATTTAAAAGTCTCTTGGGCCTTGAGGGGCCCTCGGACCCCATGTTATTATATTTTGGAGTAACATTCTTCTAACTTGTACAGTACTCTCCTGTCAATTTGCTACACTGAGGCTGAACCTTGTGTCATTGGGTCGGGGATGCTAAATGCCATAATGGCTGCCCATTGTAGACAGTGTTTGGTGGAACTCCCAGATTAAGACAGGTTGATTAAGACAGGTGTGGAAGCAGGAGTGGTATCTAGTTCCTAAACTACAAGCCTCTGGAGACTCTAAGAACCTGGAGAAATGACAATAGTTAGGGGAAGGCTTCAGGTCTTTTGTTCATAGGGTCACTATGAGTCATGCTCGACTCAATGACAATCAACACCAACAACATAGTTTCATGAGTCATCTAATTTAGTAAAATAAAATACCAAGTAGCATTATATATAAAAGGAATATTGAGGCAATTTTGAAATAAATATCATTGCTATTGTTTACCATAGAGTCAAAGTCAACACATTTAGCTGGCCCTCCAGCAGGTTTTCAAAGGCAATCATATGGGAGGAGATTGCTCATCCTTCTCTCACAGAACAGCTGTAGGCCACAGAACACTTGCCTTCTGGATTGCAGCACTGCTTCTTGCCACTAGGTAATTTTACATCTTTCACATTTTGTCTTTTTATGTTATTTTTTTTAAGAAATACATAAAGGCTTCACTTCAATTAGTTTACACACAAGGTATATTTTAATGCTTAAAAACAGTTTGAGAACTTACTCTCGTATCATAAATATAATTTTATCTGTGTGACTTCAAAAATCTATTATTCAATTTAATGACTGTAAATGGAGTTACACATATTTATATTAACTTTCTCCTTCAGATTTCCTAATGTAAATAAATTCTAAGGTAATTAATAAAATTTCCATTATTGTTTTATAAGTAATAGGACGATAGTGCTTACCCTATGACCTTTGTCACCAGGAAGACCTGGAAGTCCATCAAATCCTCGATCTCCCTGTAAAAGCATCATCAACATGATTAACATCATTGCTAATTGCATTTCCAGACTAGATCTATATTAAAATTTAAGTAGAAGATACTCTTGTCTTCTAATTATGCTAAAATATAAAATTTTCACAGGTGAACTGACACACAGCACCTGGGTGTTAAATGGAGAAATGCCTTACCTTTGCCCCAGGTTCTCCTGGCATTCCTCTTCCTCCATCAGCACCTGGTCGACCCTGGTAATCCAAAGGACACTATTAAGCCATAGAGATTCCTACTAGCATGGGGTAAAAGAAGATAAAACAAGTGATTCATTAAGATTTTCTCAAAATGCACAATGAAATTCAGTCATACCCTTTTACCAGGCTTTCCCGTTGGTCCAGGGGGACCTTGGACGCCTCGAGGACCCTATAGCAAAATACAATAAATAATTAATTGTAAAAGATTCCTAATCAACAAGTTCAATCACATCAAGCTTAACGTTATGTTTGCTTTCATGCACATGCAACTATTCATTAAAAAAAAAAGATGTGCAAATATTCAGAATAAAAAGCAGACAGGATTTTTCTAAAGGGCTTCCTAAAAATAAATCCTGTATTATTAAGTTTAAATGTAAACACATGACTACATTTAAACATAACAAATAAAATAAGAATTTTTATGATAGACATATTTTAGAACATGCAGCTTTTAACTAAAAAAAAACTCATTAATTCTTTATCATTTCAAGATTTTCATGCTTTTACATTCCCATTGACTAAAAATATTAGATCATCCACTGTATTCCTCTCATTTTTCCAAACTATTTTCTTTCTTCATTTGGATTTCTTTTCCAAGATGTGTCTTCTTTGCTTGCTATTTTTTTCACAGGGGAAGCCCTTATTAAAAAATTATCTAAATTGGGGAATTGTTGCTAGGTACCTGAGAGTGAGTGTAACAACAGGTTGAAAATTTGATAATTTCGGAACCAATCTCACCAATTCCATTACATTTAAGCCCACTGTTGCAGGCAATGTGTCAGTCCATCTTGTTGAGGAGGAGATTCATTTCCTTTGCTGAAATTTTCATTTTCCATGCGTACTGTCTATTGTATATCCAACTATGTATACATATTCATATGTAAGAAGAATGTTCATCATCTATGACTCTGAAGAACACCCTAGCTCTACTTTTTAGAGTATGTCTGTATTCCAACCATTTAGTATTGTGCATGGTATCTTAGAATATCAACAAAATTTCAATATATCTTTGACACATGTGTGTATCTATACACACACATATGTTGCTGTTATATGCCGTTGAGTCACTTGCAACTCACAGTGACCCTATGTATAACAGCTCTGAACCCTGCTCTATCTTGAGCCAATTTCGTTGTCTCTGACACATCTTCTCCTATTACGACAGTCACTAAGTCAATCCATCTCATCGAGGGTTTTCTTCTTTTGCACTGTTCCTCCACCCTTCTAAGCATGATGCATGATGTCCTTCTTCGAGAACTGGTCCCTCCTAGAAAAATGCCCATTCTACAGAGATTCAAAATCCTTGCCTCCTCGAAACAGATTGGCTTCACCTTCTCAAGAACAGACTTGTTTTTTCTCTTAGCAGTCCATGGTATGTGCAATATTTCAACTCAAATGGTATTCATACTATTAATTTCACATGACCATCAACCATTTTTCTATTAAAACAAGTGGTACAAGCTTAAAGGTAATATCAATAATTTCTTGTTGAACAAAATGGCAAATATTTCAAAATCTCTACTAAATGGTATAAATTATAAGAATATAAGTAAAACATTGTTGGTAGAAGTGTAAAATGGTGCAACCACTGTGGAAGGCTGTATGATGCTTTCTCAAAAAGTTGCAAATAGAGATACCATTTGACCCAGCAATTCCAATACTGGGAATATACTCTAGAGAGACCATAACCAACATCCAAGCAGATATATGGACCCCCATGTTTATCGCAGCTTTGTTCACAATAGTGAGGAGTTGGAAACAACCCAGGAGCCCATCAACAAATGAATGGATAGAGAAGCTGTGGTATATTCACACAATGGAATACTACACTGCATTGAAAAACAAGGAACTCATGCAATGTCATTCAAAATGGGTGACCCTGGAGGACATTATGCTGAGTGAAATATTTCAGTCACAGAAAGACAAATAGTGCATGGTGCACTGTTGTAGAATGGGACTGACATCAGGGTTGGTGTAAGACTGAGAAAAACTGGATAAATGGCGTATACTGCATTTAAACAGATGAGGGAGAGAATACTTTAAAAGCAATATATGATAGGGTATTATGGTTATCACAAGAGTCCAGAATTAAGGTGGCATAGTGGAGTGTACTCGGGATTGTATACCAAAGAAGGAATTTTTCTTTTGCTTTTCAAAGAAAGGAGTGAACTTGGGGGGAGGGCTGGGCAGGGAGGATAGTGCAACAATGAATGAATAAAAATCCAAAATCTCTGTAAATGTTCATTAGAATTAATAAAATATTTTTTTAAAAAAGAATACAAGTAAAACAAGCAAATTATTTTTCTTTACCTGAGGGCCTGGATCACCACTCTCACCTTTGGCCCCTGATGAACCTGGTCCCCCCTGTAGGAAAAAAAAAGTGAATATATAATTAATTTTATTACACAATTTTCTGCCATTTCTATCTAACCATTTTTAAATAACTAATGCATTTCTAATGTCTATCTGTGTTTCATTGACTATGCAAAGGCATTTGACTGTGTAGATCATAACAAACTACGGCTGACTCTGAGAAGAATGGGAATCCCAGAACACTTGATCGTTCTAATGTGAAACTTATACTTGGACCAGGAGGCAGTCATCAGAACAGAGCAAGG